GTGCTTAACAACAAACTGTTAATTTTCTTCTTAAGAGTTAACAATATCTTTGTTCTCCAGTCTATAAGGTGTTCGATGAAGTAGCCTACTAATAAACACTCCCACCCCCCAGTGGTACAGCGGTATGTCTGCCGACTTCCAACGCTAGAATCCGGGTTTCGATACCAGTGGTGGACAGAGCACAGATAACCCATTGTGTAGCTTTGTGCTTAATTACAAACAAACAAATTAATAAACGTTGTTCTACATGTTTTTATTTAATAGTTTATAGTGTGATCTGTCCAACTATTTTTATTATTTAATGACGTGTTTAGCCTACTCATAATTCTCTCCAAGACTGACCCTTCTCGTGTAATTCAATAAGTAACGATGCGTTTGAACCAAATTCCTCACACTCCTAAGAATTTAGATTGTTACTGTATATTTCACTCAATGACGTACGTGATCAAAGTGTATCGTTGTTTCTTAAATACGTCATTAAAGATGGATTTGGTTAAACAGCCTCTCTGGTCCAATAAAATTCCATCTTTTCGTAGTAATTAGTTAAGGATATATTTCCATTCAAAACATTTCAAGCTTCTTTATTTGTGTCACCTAATATGCGTATTAACTCAATTTTTATTTAATTTTTGTGTGTTTTTAATAAAGTAGAAGAAGAAAAATTCAATTTTTAAAATATACAGAGAATATAATATTAAATAAAATGAAGGTGCGTGATTTTAAAAATATAACCCTGCATCCGATTAATTTTAAAAGGTGTTTGGAAAAATGTCATGTATTTAAAAGGGACAAGAAACCTCTATAATAGGAAGAATATATTAGTAAAGAATGTTTTGACTACATTTAAGGAAAGTCAACATTGGTTTGTATAACAGATCGGGACGATTTTGTGAAAAAAACAAATCCATCAAAATAGTAATTTATTGAATATTTATTGCAGATTTACGTATTGTTTACTTTGCTATTGCTTTTAATCTCTGTTATTTTAGCTATCCATCTGGGAGAACTGTGCGTGTACCCTGATACAGATTTGGAACAAATACGAACAAGAATTAATGCATTCTTCGAGGTAGGAGCTATATATATATATATATATATATTTGTTAGAAAAGTGCAAAAGCCAAAGGGGATTTCCTCCTATCTTAGTTATTTCCATACTAATGACATTTGCGCACTTATATGTCAAAAGTCATAGTTGGTCGAAATATAATATTGAAACTAATTAAACACATGACCAAATATCTGAATTCCCACGTCAGCTTGGGTTTCTCTACGTGTTTGAAATGTTATTCCGTAGTTTAACTATTCAAAAGACTGTGTATTACAGATTACCCTTTATTCCATCTTCATCAACCCACTCTCGGTTCTCGTGCATAATGAAAGCGACCCTTAACCTTTACTGTCTGAAATCAAACCGGGTTTGTTGTTGTTTTTTCAGTCTCTACTGACTAAATCATTCTGATATTTCTGATTGTCTGCTCGACAAACAAGAATATGGGTTCGAACTCTGCTTGGTCGTATATTTCACGTCCTCAAAAAGTTTATAGTTATGTAGTATAATATGACACTTCTAATACTCTATAAGAACTCTGCCTAAGAATTCTGCAATTTCCATCCTAATAAATCAACAAATTTAACACTCAAGCGCGTGGTTTTTGAAATTTAGCATATTTGGTTAGAACTGCAGCCTAAAATGACAGAGAACAGGTTGGATTCTCGCTTTGTCTGGTTTTACCATCATTTGAAGTTGGTTTGAGAACTTCAATGGACTGTAGCTACCTGTTGAATAAAAAGGGACGACGTTTCGACTTCTATACTGAGGTCTTCTTCTGGCCTGAAGAAGACCTTAGTACAGACTCCGAAACGTTGTCGGGTTTAATTCAACAGCTAGCTGCAGTTCAATAAACCTTTCAAAGTTTTATTGAAACAATATCTGTTGAAGTTGTCTCATCAGGCAGTCACGTGACATATTGACTATATTACTCATCTTGGCAAATGACCCGAGATTACAATGCTTCAATGAATAACATACTAAATTAAATATTTATTGTTAATTTTCTTAATAAACACGACCACGTAAGGAAATTTTGATAAATCCTGTTATTATTATGTTTTTAAACATGAAAAAGGAATAACACGGATGTGTCGTTTCGATTACATGACTTGACACTGTATAATTGCTGGAATATAATATTAAATATAAGCTATTTTTTAAAATAAACCTGTGACTGGGTATCTATGCTCCAGTCAGCTCGAAGGTGCTCATAGTCTGCTCTGTGTGCATTTTTTTTATCACATCTTCACCTCACGACCAAGATTGTTGCGTAAATGCTTAATTCTTCACATGGATATTGTTTAAAATATTTTCGTTTTTAGTTTACTTACTGGTTAACTATTATTTTATTACAAGTTACAGCTTTTATAGTAAGGAAGATTATTCTTAGAACAGGTACGACGTTTCGATCACGGATGCGATCATTCTCAAGTATACAAGTTTTACTTGAGAATGATCGCACAAGTGATCGTACCTGTGCTAAAAAATAATCTTCCTTACTGTAAAAGCTGTAACTTGCAATAAAATAATGTTTAAAATCTTGTTCTATAAGTATGAATTTTTTTGGACACTGATACTTTCTTTCAAAGTTTAAAATAAAATTTCTGTTAAAATAACAGTCGTTTGCTAAACAAAATAACTCATAAAAATGGTCTTAGCTTGCTACTAATATTGTCTGGTAATATTTTTAATAATATATTTATTAAAAGTTGTAAAACATATATTTCCCCAACAAAAAAACAAGAACCCAGAAGAGACTTCACCAGGAGAAGGTTCTTTAAGTAGTCAAAGCTCTTGTCCAGAATGGTGCTTCCTAGATTGTGAGTAGAAAAATATTTTACCTCTGATTTTCATCAAGTTTCTTTTTAGCCTTAGTCATCTTCATATATATTAAAAACAAGTTATAAGAAAATAAAAAAGACTAAACTCATTGCTTCATTTTATTTGAGTTTGAATCATAAAAAGTAGATGATAACATAGATATTATGAAAAAGAATAAAATTAAAGATAATTAAGCACTTGGTGCTCTAACTTCCTTCAGTAGTTCTCTGGTGGGACAGCGGTAAGTTTACGAACTTACAACGCTAAAATTCGTGGGTTGATTCCCTGCAATGGACACAGTAGATAGCCTAATGTGGCTTTGCTTTAAAACACACTAGTTTAGGTAAAGCTCAATGCATCATGAAATTAACCATGTGATTCAATAACCTTTAACAATTTGTAACTTTTTGTGGCTGTTTTTAGTGCATTGTGTCTCTAATGTATAAATATGTTTCATAATCGGTCCATATAAGAGTTTAAAATATCTTAAGGCTATTTAATTATGAACTGCTGACCCAAATTAATGTTTAAAATATATTTATACACTTCTTATGTTTAAAAGTAACGCCTACAGTATGATGGCTTTGAGTGTGTAGTTTAGCTTTTGCTTATTTACTAAAGCTAGCGCCACACAGTGGCTCAGCGGTAAATCAGGAAGCTTACGACGCTAAAAACGGGTTTCGATAACCGTGGTGGGCAGAGCACAGATAGCCCATTGTGTAGCTTTGTTCTTAACGATAACTAAACCAAGAGATTGCTTGCAAGCTGTGGTTTCTAGTTTTTTAAATCTATATTTAAAAACACAATTCAATTGTTTCTAGCATATAGTTGGTTACCCATTTATCTACAAGTGGTTCACATTATGCTAATCTTTTATAGCGTGTACGGCAGAAAGATTTTTTCGAATTGACCCGGCCCAGGAACATCTTTACTACATAGTGGACATTTGTGCGGACGAGCTCTTTATTCTTGATTATACTGCTACGTCTTCTGTTGACCCTAATGACCAAGAGAGTGAAGAGTTCCTTGAAAACAATGTCCAAGCAGTTTCTCCAAGCGGAAGCGAAGAAATATCTGGAAGTCCAGACGAATCTTCGGAGTCCTTTCAGTCTGATGACCAGGAAGAGTAAGAAAAAGTTTAACTTATAATCGTTGGGATTGCAAAAGTTAAACCTCTTTAGTGTCGTTCCCAGAAACTGAAGTAAACGTTCAGGTTTTCTAAAACATCGAGTAAATGATACTGTATTACAAACAACATTTTGCGAACTATTCTTTAGTAATACAAATTGTACTATTTGACAAACATTTTGAAATTGAAATCAAGCACAAGATTAACATGGAAAACATAGATGTTACATAATCATCAGTTATTTGAAAACTGGGATTCAAACAATTATAGTTGAAAACATCACGGCTGAACACCTATCGTGTCTTTAGTAGCAAACAGTCAATATATTTTAAATAGTCCTAATTATATTGACAGTTTCTTTTTACAAGGTTTAGAATAGATATTGTATACATTTTAAAAATAGAGATGGCGCTGCTGTAATATTACATCGTTTAATGTTTGCATGTGCATAAGTTTGTTAACCGTTGCTATTCGATTTAAGCATAAAAAAAGCACGCGTCACTAATATTAATGTTGTTTTTGAAAATATTGTACACAGGAAATGTATATAAAACTGCAGAAATTGAATTTATTCGGCATCCAGATTTACTCTAAATATGAAGATTGAATTTGGTCTATATTCAATTCTGCTTGTTCCTTCAAATTTCCAGCGTCCGTTATCAATTAATAATAAATGATTTAAGTAGAAAACTACATGTTAAAGGTTGTTTTACATTAAGCTAAATGACGACTGTTGCACGCAGTTCTGTTGAGATTTAAAAGTGTATTTTTTAATTATTATTAATTATTAACAGGTACAACGATTAGCCCCAGTGAAACGTATTATTCTGCATAAGGTTTGCCTAATATACATAAAAGCCTGTGCCTGTCTTTTCGTAACGCTGCGTTCCAATAATGGCTTTTACGTTATGTTGCTTAACAACAAAAGTACGAGTCGTAAACTATTATTAGATGGTATATTGTGGTTTTTAACTATTATGGGATGCTATAGAGTGGTTTTCTAACTATTGTGGGATGTTATAGAGTGGTTTTGTAACTATTATTATGTTTTTTTTAAACATTGGATATTATACAGTTATTTCTAACTATTATGGGATATTATAGTGCTTTAACTATTATCAGATGTTATTATGACTTAATATTGTTGTTTGTCAATGTACTGAAAGTGTAAAATGAAATATCTATAAAGCGAAACGGAAATATATTTTCTGATTTTTCAATTTAATGTCTGCGTTGATTTAAAAGGTTTGGTTTTTACTTTTTTTAACTTCGTTCGTAGACCCTTGAAAAAGGCGTAAGCCGAAACGTCGGCTAGAATAAATAAACATTTATCTGAAGGTGTTTGTCGTCTTCATTGAAAATGGTTTCCATCCTTCAGCCAGCAATTTGAAAAGTTTATCGTTGTTGTAGTCTTATATTATTTTCGGTTATAATCATTTGACATCGGTTAATAACCTGTGACACTCAAAGACCCTCGAAATGAAGTCGTATACCGAAACGTCGCGTAAAACATCAACAAAAAAAACAACATTTCTTTGAAGTTGTTTATCGTCTTTCTAAAATTATGTTGATAGTTGGTTCTTTGATGTTTTTGATTTTCAAGTTTATTTGTAAAGGTGTTACTAAGTTCACTATGTTAATCATTACTTCTTCATATTTCAATAAATTCAGTTCTTGAATTTATCTTTTGTTTTTTTCCTTTCTTTCTATAAATGAGCTGTGTTAGAGTAAAAGGTTTTAACTAAACAAGTACTTGAAAGGTTGTGTATTTTATATGATTGCTGTATGCCTAGTTAACTTAAAAACCTACACGAACAAATGCGCGAAAAACAAGTTTGTCCTTTAAATTAAACACTCATTTTTCTCTCTCTCTCTCTTTTTCAGAAATGTATCGGAACACTCTTCAGAAGGTGGGTATTATGGAATCCAATAAAGTAAGTCGTTCATATCATTAGATTTATTGATATTTCGTAAATTCGCATGTATATGGGATAAACTTTTATTAGAACACGCGATAACCTAAGAAATGTGAAAAAACGTTATATGGCAAAAAAACGTATAGCAAACAAACGTTCATGTATTTATCCCTTCATATGTGTAGCCTATATGCTCTGTAACGAAACAGTAAGACGGGTGGATATTTTTTAAAGAGTAGTTTTTAATGTTATAGTTGTGTGTTCAATCTTTTTTGTTTTTGAAATTGTTCTATTTCCTATTTCAGATCATTCGCTTTTCCACACTTGGAGATGCGATGAAGAAACTGCGATATAGCCAAGGATATTACTATTTCAAGATTTAAAGTCACATGTCGGATATCCTGATAACACTACTGAAGAACAAATACGGATTAACACTAAATTAAGAAGTCGTATCTTAACTTTTTAATAATCAGATAATTATATATAAAAGATATTTTTCATAATTCAAGATCTAGATATCTTTTTATATGATAATAACTATCAAAGAAAAAAATACTTGAAACTATGAGCACCAGTAATGTATGTATAATTGTGGCACATTTCGGTAACGCACCCCCCCCCCCCCCACAGCGTTGTATCTGCGGACTTAGGACACTAGAAACCGGGTTTCGATACCCGTGGTGGACAGAGCGCAGATAGTCCATTGTGTAGCTTTGTGCTTAATTACAAACAAACATAATCAGCTATGTTTTTTATCACAATTAAGCCCCTTTTTTCATATTTCTTATCTTTATTAAAGGGTCTTATAAGTATAAGTGAGTAAGAATGCATGTTTATATTATAAAACTTTGTGATGTTTAAGTTGTCTCTCGTAGAAGAAACAAATAAAGCTGAAGGAGCTGATGACTCAAGTTCTGGCCCTGCATGACCAGGTGGTTAGGGCGCTTGACTCGCAATTTGAGGGTCGCGGGTTCGAATCCCCGTCCCACCAAACATGCTCGCCCTTTCAGCCCTGGGGGCGTTATACTGTGACGATCAATCCTACTATCCGTTGGTAAAAGAGTTGGCGGTGGGTGGTGATGACTAGCTGCCTTCTCTCTAGTCTTACACTGCTAAATTAGGGACGGGTAGCGCAGATAGCCTTCGTGTAGCTTTGCGCGAAATTCAAAACAAACAAACTCGAGTTCGTGATTATTTTTTATCGGCGTAGGCCGAGCGTGACCTAATGGTTAGCGTGTTTGTATGGACTGTGAATCCAAGGGTTCGCGGCTGGGTGCTGTTGAATAGCCTTCTTGTCTATCAGTTGAAAATTAGGGACAGCTGTGCGCAAATAGTCCTTTGTGTACCTTTGTGAGAATATTCTGAAACAAACTTTTATCGAATAAAAACCTGCATAAATATTTTTTTTAACAACAACAAATTACCAAGTGTTAGGTCAGTTTGAGCTTCTCTTAAGCTCAGTTTCACGTTACGATATGACAAAATACTCTATTCAGTCTATTGCATCAGTATAAATCTTTAATCCGATTTGTTTAACGTTTTTTCTTTCTTTCACTCGCACTTCGTTGTAAGAACAAATACAGTAAATGAAATATAATTTGAACATGTGTGTTTTAACATCATTGTTCCAAAGAATTAATCATTTGTTGTTGTATTAAACAGGATTAAATGTCAAAGTCAAATGAATATCGCGTTTTCAAATCATGTTCTTGCGATAAGAAACTTCAAAGTCACCCCGGTGGGCCAGCAGTAAGTTTACAGAATTACAACGCTAAAATATGGGGTTCGATTCTCCTCGATGAACAAAAGCACAGATGTTTTAATTTCTGAATTTACGGTAAAATAAACAAACAGAAACTTACAAGGAAAAATAAGTATACAATTACTGTAGAAAAAAATCTATATCTAAAGCTTTTGAACACTATTTAAAATGCTTTTGTATTTACCACACATTATTGGTCTATTTACTAGAAACTCTCGTCCTGCTCTGGTGCCCCCCGCCCCCATTGGCACGGCGGTACGTCTTCGTACTTGGAACGCTAGAAACTGGGTTTCGATACCCGTGGTGGGCAGAGCGCTGATAGGCCTTTACGTAGCTTTGTGCTGAAGTATAAACAAACCTGTTCTGCTAATGAAATAATTTTATTACTAATATTCTATATTTTTGGAAAATGTCTCTAATTTGAGAAATCAGTCTGTTTCGTTTTAAACTTTTTATAAAAACCAAAAAAAAACCTAATGAGTTGAAGGCTGTACGTCTTTCTAATAATAGCTCACATGTATAAACAAAATATAATAAGAACAATATATAAGTTGTATTTTATTTCTTGTGTCGTTGTTTCTACTATTTTTTATATGCACATGTCTCAAATAGGTATTAGATGCAACTATTTAGTTTACCATGTACTGAATGTCTGTTTGTTCACAAAATTACACAATGGGCTGTCTGTGGTGTGTCTATCGCGGGTATCAAAACTCAATTTTTAGCTACATAAGCCCTCAGACTTATCGCTAAGACACCGAGGAAGGAGGGGAAACTTACTATATACTAAATTAACCCTTACCTTCTGGACGTGCCCCCCAGTGACACAGCGGTATGTCTGCGGACTTACAACGCTAGAAACCGGATTTCGATACCTGTGGTGGGCAGTGCACAGAGATCCCATTTCGAAGCTCTGTGCTTAACTTCAAACAAACTAACCTTCTGAACGTACTATTTAACAAATATTAATAAATTGTTGAATAATTAATTTTTGAGTTTTTACAACTAGTTTGTGTTCCTTGATTAATTACATAGCTCACGAACTTTATAATAATTGGTCATTTAGGTCAATAATAAGGTTATGGAATAGAATAATGTGAGTTAATATTTGAAGGAAGACTATATTATGTAAGTGAAACGTGGGTGAATGGTTTCAATTTAATTAGAAATTCAGTTTATTTCAGACTAATAACCAAAACAATAGTTTACAATAGAGTACAATAAACTTAAAATACGTACACTATGTAAAAATACCATCCTTAAATTTCGAAATCTTTTTTTTATTTAATTAACAATTGAAAAGTGGTACATCTATAAAACAATTATCTTCTTGTATCCTTTTCAGGAGCAGAAGTAACGAATTTATAAAATGGATTATGCTTCATTTACGCCTGGAATTCTGTCTAGAAATCCACATTTCCATTCGAGCTTTTCAATAGTGTATAAAAAGGCAAACCAGGGGTCTTTATGAATTTTTGATTTTGTTCAAATCAGTTAGGAGTTGATTTTGAAAACAATTTTGAATCTTATCGGTTGTAGTTTTGCGTATTTTAAATAAAACTGATCATTTAAGTATGTGTTCAGAAAAAAAAAACAATACCGAGCAAGTGAAGTTGAACTTGGGACATATATTCTTTATTTTCTTTTTCTACAATGTTGCAAAATTGAGTCAAGGGAATAAGATTTTATGAAACGTGAACTCTAAACATGTTTTTTATTGTCTATTTTATTTTGTTACAGCAGCTCGCAACAGCAAATGTAGAAATCGATGACATTCTCGCCAGTTCTAGGATTTACTAATCTTATAACAGAATGAACCAACAGCGAATCAGAAAAAAAAATTATTCAATGCATTATTTCTTCATGAAGTATAGTCAAACTCAATATTTATTACCGTTTGATTTGTGCAAGAGTTGGTGTTTTAAAATTTTGGCTTTTGTCACATGTGGCCCGGCCTGCCCAGATGGTTAGGGCGCTCGACTCGCAATCTGAGGGCCGCGAGTTCGAATCCTCGTCCCACTAAACATGTTCGCCCTTTCAGCCGTGGGGGCGTTTTAAAGTGACGATCAATCACACTATTCGTTGGTAAAAGATTTGGCGGTGGGTGGTGATGACTAGCTGCCTTCCCTCTAGTATTTCACTGCTAAGTTAGGGACGGCTAGCGCAAATAGCCCTTGTGTAGCTTTACGCGAAATTCAAAACAAACAAACAAACTTTTGTCACATTTCATTTTCTGTTACAGTTTAATCTGAACATACTGGTTCTGTGAGATTACCTACAATGGTGTTGGTTTAAGCGCCATTAGTCGGCGAAACATTGGAAACCAATAAGCTTAAAAATCCTTAAAAGATTTTTATCATTAGAGTTCGAAATCAGAGGTGTGTAAAATCGTCATTTCAGATTTAATGTCTCCCATAAGTCACTGCTTAATAAGCTTTTCGTTCAGTATAGTCATATAATCAGTATAATGCTTTAAAAGTTACGGTTTAAATACCAACAGCGAAAACCATTTTTAGGCCTATAAGCTAGAAGGAAATGACAAAAAAAACTCTTTTGTGTCTCACAGTCCAGCCTAACAGATGAATTGTGGTAGTGAACAGAAAGCTTATTGGGCAGTGATTTATACGAGAAAAAGGATACATCTGAAATGCTATTTTGCACACAGCTCTGATTTCTAGCCGCAATGGGCAAATTAAGAGAAATCTTTGAAGAGAAAAAAAAAACATCTGCACCTAAATTGTATCTATAACAATTTTTAGGCCTATTTGTTTTCCACTAGCTTTCAGTGCTTTGTTTGTATATTTATTTGAAGTTAAGCACAAAGGGTCTACCTACCATGGGTATCGAAACCCGGTTTCTAGTGTTATAACTCCGTAAACATACCGCTCTACCACTGGGGGAACTTTCGGTGCTTCAACCGTAATTATGATAATACGTATATAAACGGCGTTCCATAGATTCTTTTGACTATTATGCACCAGCAATCGTTAGTCTCGTTAAATCTGATGGCCTGCCAGCCCATTAGGCTGGAAAGAAATTGCAAAAAAAAATATATATTTTATTTATCGTCCAACCCACCTGATGTGTTCTGGTATTGAACGAGAAGCGTATTGAGCAGTGACTAGAAAGGAACTATTATTTTTTACACGCATTTGATTTCGCGCCGCAGTGGCACAAATTAAGAGGGATGTGAAAAAAAAGTACAAGAACATATATACCTTAACTTGTTTTTATAAACATAAAGATATCTATTGAATGGAAACCCAATTGCCATTTTTTTGTTATTTAGTTTTAAACTACGTATAAAGTTCTAGTAAATACGGAAAATTCAATCATTCCTAAGAGTGATTAGCCAGTAATTGACGTTCCAATTGAGCTGTTTTTTAATGAACTCTTTCTGTAGTTTGTACTTATTTTAGCTTAAACAACGAAAACATTAGATGTTTTACTAGTAGGAATAATATGCTTTCTCTGCCAGAGTCTTCAGTTAATAGGACAAGTAAAATCTTTGAGTCGTTCATCCACAGCATCTTAATTTTTCTACCTGAATTAAGCAGTTGTTATGGTTTTTGTGGCTGAAGAATAGTGTTTTTTATAGAATATTATATAAATACTTAATCTTTTATGTTGTTTGATGTTGATTGTAAAGCTGACGAAGCATTAGAATCCATTAGGCTTAACATTCGTGATAAGAATCACGTCAGACGACAACATTTTTGTTGGCATTTTTCTTAATGATTTGAAATCCATGATGAACAAATAAAGAGGAATACGAAGAAATATCTAAAGTTTGATTTTATCACTGAGGTTGGACAAACCTGTTTGAAATTTCTGTACTCAAATATAAAAACGTATATATTTGTATGAAAAATGTATATAACTAACAGTTTAACCCAAAACTGTGATGTAATTCATTATTCTTATTGTGCATGTATGCCCCCTGGTGTCTCAGCGGCAAGTCTGACATCTTATAACGTTAAAAATTTGGTTTCGATACCCGTGATGGGCAAAGCACGGATAGCCCATTGTGTATCTTTCGCTTAACAATAAACAAAACAATTGCACCTTCAAATGTATATATATACATATCCAACTTTGTAAATTTAAGATTAAAAACTTGCAAAATTATCTTATATATAACACTGTTAAACTGTACTTTTGCGTTATTTGTTTCAAAGGTGAATAAGTGTACAAAATAAGAAAATAGTCTGCTTAATCTTGAAACATCAATGAAGAAACGATTAATCGCAAACTGCTGAGTAGCAACCATAGTTATTAAAACTGAAACTATTAGGATTAACTATGTGAAATTTTATAACTGCTTTAAAAACTAATACTTTAAAGTTATCTTTACAAAACCAATTTTGAAAAGAAAAAAATCTTGGTGAAAATGAGCATGACTACTAGTTTTATTATGAGTGATAAAATGTGAGCGAGTATCTATGTATTTTCTTAAACGCTGACTTTACAGAAGTAGTTGGAGGATGTTTTTTAGGTTAATCTTGAGGACCAAGCGTGGCCCAGTGGATAGCATGGCGGGTACTGTGGATCCCATGTTCCGTGATTCATTCCCCATTACCGCCAAAATAAAATAAAATCACGCTTCTTAATTTGAGGCCGTTGGTGCGTTATAAGAGTGACTGTCAAATCTCACTATTCGATTAGAATAGCTTATGTGTTAGCGGAAGATGGTGTTAACTAGCTGCCTTCTCTCTGTGGTCTATCACTTCAAAATTAGGGACGGCTAGCATAGGTACCTCTTTAGTAGCTTTGCGTGAAATGAAACAAACAAAAAAGGATTATTCTTGAAGTGTTCAGATAGGATTAGTAGTTATGAGCTAAAACGAAACAATAAGTGAACTTTAGCTGTATTACATTCTGTTGATGTTTAGAGTTTGTGTATAATGTGCACTAATTTTCCTAATATCAACATTCAATTTGTGTGATGTGTATACAAAGCCTCATGAAATAAAATATACCAAAATAATTAATTTTGAAATCTGAAAGCGAGATGTTATCGCTTGTGTTATAACTTTGACATTTGTATGGTTTTAATTTTTTAATCCTTTGCTCTGAGAAGAGAAAAGCTAGTTTTTATTACTTGTTTAACGCTTGTCTGGTTGGAGAGAAACGCTATAGCTTTCACTTTTTGCTTAACGTTGGTTGAAGTAGAAAGCTAGTTTTGATTACTTGTTTCACGTTTTTCTGGTTGAAGAGAAAAGCTAGTTTTGACTTCTTGCTTAACGTTGGTTTGGTTGAAGTGGAAAGCTAGTTTTGATTACTTGTTTAACGTTTGATTGAAGATGAAAACTAGTTTTGATTATTTGTTTAACGTTGGTTTGGTTGAAGAGAAAAGCTAGTTTTTATTTATTGTTTAACGTTGGTTTGGTTGAAAAGAAAAGCTAGTTTTGATATCTTGCTTAACCTTTATTTAGTTTCGACAGAAAATAGTTACTTATAACAAACACCAGATGACACTTCAGGAGAATTGGTTATATAAAACTCATTTTAAATTCATTAAATATTCAGATTATGTTGCGACAATCAAATGTCCTAAGGCTTACATGACATGTATTAGTTGTTTTCTGGTGTGTGAAATAGGCAGTTCTGCATGTCAGTTCATATTTAATTTAATGGCGCACTTCCTACTAGAAGTACTATAGACATGGAGTCAAAATAGAGATGTGTAGCTTGAGAAAATAATGTAGACATTATTTCCAGCCTTGTTTACTTTTTAGAATCTTTATTTTTTTGACGTACCTATTCTCTTTTTTAATTATCTTGTATATGTATATATAAACCGAACAACAATAAATATATACTTAAACACGTTTCTCTTTCTCTATGCGTTTTTTCTGTTCATGCTTTTATCTTCGAAATATTTCTTTCAATCAGTCAACGAAGGAAGTCCTGTTTGTGTGTCTGTGTGAAATTTCCTCAGAAAAAGAAACATTTTTGTTCTCAGTAAATTTTTTTCTCAAATTGACATTTTCCTCAAAATGTTCTCAGTACATAAAGACTGACGGATCGATGTTGATATCAATATGAAATTTTAGGAATTGCAAAAAATGAATAACTTTCCTGGAATGTACACTTGAAAAGAAGCATTTTAATATATATATATATATTTTTTTTTTCTACTATTAACCGTTCAGGAGATACAGAGCGTAGCAGACAGACAAGCAAACATTTGGCTATTATAATTGCCCTCCAGTGGCACAGCGATATATCTGTGGACTTGCAAGGCTATAAACCGGGTTTTAATACCCGTGGTGAGCAGAGCACAGATTGTGTAGCTTAGTGCTTAACTTCAAATAAACAAAGCTATTATAAATATAAATCGAGGTTCTTACAGTGACATCTGCTGGCTGTTTTGAGAAGTATTTATGAAAGTTAGATTAATTGCGATTATACAATAATGCTTTAACTACGTCTTGCCAGTGATTTAATCATACTTTTTTTAATTTCATAATTATTATTTCGCTAGAATTTGTTTTTAAAACATTAAACGCATTTTACAAGGGGTAACCATCACCAACAAGATTGTTTGTTTTTGAAGTTAAGCACAAAGCTACACAATTGGCTATCTGTGCTCTGCCCACCACGAGTATCGAAACACGGATTCTAGCGTTGTAAGTCCGCAGACATACCGCTGTGCTATGGGGGGCCATCACCAACAAAACAACATACAGTGTACTACTTCAAAGGATGTGTTTCTCAAGTACTGTATTTTTGTTCTCGACGAATATTTTACTTTAGTTTTAATACGACGAACACAATATTCATCTTTTTCCAACTTTTAGAACAGTATAATTTTACTGTTCCATAAAGAAATCTTCAAAACTTGATAAAAGGTATTCATAAGTTTTTCATGTTTAGTATGCACCATTTACTTCACCAGAAATAATTTGAGAAAAATTACTTTCCCTAGTAGAACACTTTATTGACAAATTCTTAACACGCACACACAGAGACGTAAAATACGATTGTTATTCCTTCTGCAGGATAACTATTTACAAACTCTAGACATACTTATATATGCAAATACACAAAGTTGTTAACACGTGTTTTAAACCTGCAAGTGCACAAAGTTATTAACACGCGTTGTATACCTGCAAGTACACAAAATTATTAACACGCGCTGTATATGCAAGTACACAAAGTTATTAACACGTGTTTTATACCTGCGAGTACACAGTCATTAACACGTGTTGCATGCCTGTAAGTACACAAAGTTATTAGCACATGTTGTATACCTGTAAATTCCCTAAGTCATTGACACGTGTTGTATACCTGTAAATACACAAGGTTATTAACACGCGTTGTATACCTGCAAGTACACAAAGTTATTAGCACGTGTTGTATACCTACAAATTCACTAAGTTATTGACATGTGTTGTATACCTGCAAATACACAAAGTTATTAACATTTGTTGTATACCTACAAGTACACAAAGTTGTTAACACGTATACACTGCAAAAAATATTACATGATGTAAGCCATTATACACATCTTTAATATTACACTATCATATGCATTATACAACTATATATAAGAGCTAACTTAGGAAGTCTCTTGTTAGTATATACAAGCACTATAGAATTATGTAATTCAATAAATATATGTGTTTCTTGTTACTTCCCTGGCATTATTAGCAACGTCCACACTCAGGTGTAAATCACTATAAGGCCCTTGTATATTGAGAACTAGGATGATGTGGGAAGAAGTTACTCATGTATAATTAGGTTTCAAAAACATATACAAACCCACAAAAATACAAATCTCTAATATATATGTATATAGTTGCTGCCCTAAAAATATTCTGTACAGAATACAAAGTACACCACACGACACGAAAATGACTACACTGTTAAAATACATATGCATGAATCTATATCGAATATTTATGCTTACATATTCACCTGCAAATGAATATTTCAAATTACATGCTCTGTATAAAATGACAGTTTATGCTGAACGGAAGTCTATCTAATCATAAAGTGAAAATGGGTTATATCCTTCCTGAAATCATCAGGACTGTTCTACGTGTTTACTGAAACAAATTTAGTAAAATCATACAGAAAATTACATTCAACGCGTTGCCAAAAAAACACACACACACACTAGAAACATGTATTTAACTACATTTTCTGGAGATAAAACTGAACTATTTTGTTTTTCTAAACAAAGTATATTATGATGAAAGGCGGAATATAGGAAATATATCTTATGCTGCTTTATTACAGCTTTTCATTTTCTACTACTAGTAGCACGGACCTGTTAGGAAGCTCAATCCATACAAACAGAAAAGCGTCCACAAAGCTGTCGAAACTGTTACATTGCACAAACAGATTTGTAACTAACACATTACGAGAGTAAAATAAGCCTGGACTGATCCGTAGCTTAAACTTTAATTATTAATTAAAGTATATAACTCTGGAATGTAACGGTATGGATTACTCCTCATCTTTTGTGGAGTATAGTGCTTTAGATATTTATGTATATATATATATATATATATATATATATGAACTAAGATTCACATTACATAAACACGATCCATTCACTATGCTACAAATATATAGACAGATAGATATGTTACAAATATGGCATACGTTTCTTACTGACGGCCAAGCAATCAAATACTGTGACAGCTAGAGAGCATTTTTGTAGGAAAATGACCTCTCGCCACGGGGGAAAAAAGCCTTGTGCTTTATAAAATCATGTTAGTCGCGAATCTGGCATGGAGCTTGTAAGCTTGTGAACCCAAGTTTAATGAAGTACGAGTGATTAACCACGGTAACAAGCATTTTTATATATATATACTGCAAAGTTGGTGCATGAAAGTGTTTGTGAGATGTTATTTTTGTAGCCACGACAACAAGCATTTATATATATAGGCTGCTAAGTTAGTGCATGAAAGTGTTTGTGAGATGTTATTTTTGTAGCCACGACAACAAGCATTTATATATATATAGGCTGCTAAGTTAGTGCACGAAAGTGTTTGTGAGATGTTATTTTTACAACTTGTTCGTGCTGCTACTTATTTTAGGATCTTCTGATGCTAAACTGTTATTGAAAGCGTGATGAATATTCTTATCGTTAACTCATTTGTTTTCACGTTTGTTTTGTGAACAAACTCGAAAACGTGCTCTCTCAATGCTTAAGTTGGAAGATACGTTTCACAACTGCTCCTGCTTTCATTAGTTTCTGCGTGAAATGGATAAGTGTATCGAACATAAACTTGACATTTTAATTTCATATTAATAACACATGTTGCTTTATGCTAAGCCCATAAACGTCCAGTTAAAAAAAAAAAGAAGTATCCATTTGGAAACAAAACATTAAAATACAGGCTTTTCTGGACTGGCTTGCATTCCATTAACGCGTATAGAATCGCTATTATTAACTGATATTATATTTTAGTGAATTTTTCGAGTGTTCATTAGGCATTTTCACGGAGCTATATATGTGAGCTTTACTATGTGATATGGCAGTCTTTTATTTAATGATTCACAATGTTGACATTAAAGTATAGTTAACAACCATGTCCAAGGCAAAGCAGATTTTTCTAATAATGCATAAATTATGCGAGATATGAAAACGGTATAGCAACAAATAGTAAACAAATATTGTTACGCTCCAAAAGAATGCCTTTCGTCAGAATATTTACTGGATATACGTTTGGAAAATAAAAATTATTTTTACACTCCAAAAGAATGCCTTTCGTCAGAATATTTACTGGATATACGTTTGGAAAATAAAAATTATTTTTACACTCCAAAAGAATGGGTTTCGTCAGACATGTTTATCAGTAGCAAGAAGGAAAAAAAAATAGATGAATGTTCAAGAGATAATTATTTTATTACTTGGGAAATTCATTTACTAGAGTCTTATTGTGGTTGATGACTTCAACCAAACCATGATGATAGTAGGTTAATTCGATCTGACAACACGGCGTTCGATCTCCCTCTCTTTATTTGAGTGTTTTCTATTTTCATTATACTTTAATAAATGTATGCAGATATGACAGGTTGTGTGTCTATATAAATGCGTGTAGCTTATGTACAGGTTCTACTTGAATAACCAAAAAAAAAATATATTGTGTTGAATATTGGAAAAGTTTATATCAGTTCTTATTACACTTGAAAGCTAGCTACACATGCCGGTTCTTAGTAAGTGTATGTCAGTTCTTATTACACTTAGCAGTATTATTTTCAATGTGTACATAATTCTGGACTACATAAAACTCATTAGTCTTCATTTTTAAATTATTGTCATTTGATAATAGACTAATGAGTAATATCTTCCTAAAGGCCACCACGTAGGATAGTGGATAACCTTTTATTTTACGTCAGCAGTCATCTACTGCTAGCCCTCAATTTTTTCAAGACAATTCTATAAACAAGTCACAAGTAATTTACACGTAACTTCTTGTCATACATACACACACAAACAAACAAATTTGTATTTATATGGACAATCACTTGGACTATTGTGCATTTATAATACTGTGTGCACCATATCAAGTTGAGCACATAAACACACATCTGTATAAGTCTAATTACATTTAACTTAATATACAACTAAGTACTTTAGAAACTCTCTACAACCAGTTATCTTACAAGATGGCACACTCGAAGAAATGTCACGGACTGGTCTGTCTTCTGACCAAGGTTTACTCTTTAACGCTGCATTTTACTAGGATCTAATATAATGGCAGGTACAGAGAACGAAAATATATACTGTGGATGTACAAAGTGTCTTGTGGAAAAGTCAGTTCAATATCCCTCCCACACATCAGCCAGAAGGCTGTATTTGCTTGTTTTTTTAAGTTGCTTATTCTTCATAGCATTTGTTCCATGACATGAGATATGAGAAAACAGCGAAATCCTAATGTATAAATTAGTGGCTGTCTATTAATTATTGAAAACTAGCAAGTTCATATCATATGGCAAAAAAAATTACCTTAAAATTCCTTGTTCGGGTTGAAAACAAAATGTTGCTCATTTTTGGTTCAAAACAATGAAGTAACAAAAGTTCCAATATTTTAAACTATAACAAATATGTCTTATTAATGATTCACTGTCCAACTTTAACATTAGTTTGTGTATTAAATGTACTCTTTCTCTAAGAATTAAAAACTAATGTGTAAAGTTACAGATACGGTGTTCAAACTATATCACGAAAATACGATATCTACGGCTTTTCGCATCAGGTTAGAGTATAAGAATACGTTGCAAGCCACCGCTATTTCCTATCAACAAATGACTTCTGAAATCAAAACCAAGTGTATACGTGATGTCAACTACACAGGATGTATCATAAACTGTATTCAGGGAAGGGAGAATGTTGTACAGCACGTGTTGAAAAAACGTTGTCGAATACCTTATCATACAAATTATTAAAGTTGAAATCTTACCAAACACTAAGAATTACAACTTTACGTAAAGTTCAAAATTGTACTGGTTTACGTTTTTCCAAATGTTGATTTTAACCAACACACACACACTCGGGCTTACAAAACTCAACAGGTAAAGAAGAAAACGTTCAAACAACGTCACACAACCGTTCAAGTACCAATATGTTATAGACCTCTTATTTCAGCAAACACGCATATACTCTCGTTTTCTTCCCCGTGACGCAGCCTCTAGCTCGTTTTCTGCTATGTCAAAAGACATTTATATAACCATATTAACAGGGTAATTTCCAGGGAGCTTTTAAATTTGTATTTATTTAACTAAGTATGATTTTTTTTTTAGTTTCACAACATACTTCTTTCTTCCGCCTTGTCTAATTCTTTGTCCACGTTTTGACGATCTTTTTCTGTCAAACAACTTTGTTAAATCTATCCGTTCAGGTTGATTTTCAACACAAGGGGAGCAGAGGTATAAATGAAATTAGAAAAATGGGTATTATGAAACGATAAAAAGAAAACTATGATTTTCATAAAACAAACCCTTTTTTTTAATAAAAGTTTGAGTTCTGAGGTTATGATTATTTTCTTTTCGATTTTTGAAGATTTGACCTCATCGATATTTTGGCACTTTCAAACGATTTAGCATCCTTTCAGATTTTGGGGGATAAGCTTAGTTCTTTTCAATTTCTGTTTCCAATTTCTTTCCAGTTACGTTCTTATCATTTCTAAGTAATCTTACTTCAATCAGAATCTCATGGCTTTATTGTCATTTTTTTATCTAGCATTAACACTTAGAACTACGTAAGATTATCATAATCATATTATTTATTTATTTTTTTAGATGCGTTACGTTATACCTAAATTTGGCCCTGATTAACGTTTTTGTTTTTATACCTTTAAGTGTCTTAAACTTTTGATTACTTTTTGTTTCATTTTGGAATTTAATGGTTCAGTCTGTCTTTTGACTAAACTCTGTACTTCTATATGTATATATATATATATATATATATATGAATTTAATAAACTAGTTTAAATAATCTAAATAAAAGTGTTATTCAACTAAATCAGCCCTAAGCTAATTCTTTCGTTAAATTTTTCTTTATCACTAACCCTATTCTTCATAAGTGTGTAATAACGCGCGTGTATGCCATATATTTCTTAATTATCGCCTCCATCAGCTGGTTCCTTCAAAGAATGCCACTGTGCAATTGGACGTCGAGGGGAGGCGAGCATGTCCATCCAATGGCGGAGCTCCGTTCCAGTTGCATTGCATCCCAGGATAACGTTTCCTATTGGGTCAGATGTACCAATGCGGTCGTAATCTACGACTGTCACCAACAGCTGAACTTTCTGTGAACCAACAACATTAAACAAAATGACTTAGTAATGAATATTTAATTCCTTAATAGCCATATTTAGAAGAAAGTGGTGCGGTAAAATACAGAAGATACAAGACTATATAATAGGTAAGACAGATTGAAATAAAAGTTCACTCATAATATGAGCTGTTTAAAACCAAACTAACTCTGGAAAACTATCAGTACTGTTTGTTTGTTTTGACTTTCGCACAAAGCTACACGAGGGCTATCTGCGCTAGCCGTCCCTAATTTATCAATGTAAGACTAGAGGGAAGGCAGCTAGTCATCACCACCCACCGCCAACTCTTGGGCTACTCTTTTACCAACCAATAGTGGGATTGACCGTAACATTATAACGCCCCCACGGCTGAAAGGGAGAGCATGTTTGGAGTGACGGGGATTCGAACCCGCGACCCTCAGATTGCGAGTCGAGCGCCCTAACCACCTGGCCATGCTGGGCCCTATCGGTACTAAAAGTGATGCGTTTCTTTATGAACATGCCTTTCTATGTTTGCGGTACGTAAACCTAATGTTGTATATTTTGTACATATATCATTACACGCATGTTTTATACGTTTTTCTTCATATAATACAAACAAAAAACATTTCATGTAACAACGCAAATATATATATATTAGACCGAAAAAAAAACGTTTACCTGAATCTGCTCAAACGGCACCTCAAACGTAAATGACTCATTATAATAGGGATTAAGTGTACACTTCTTAATACTGGTCTTTTTCTTCTTAATCCTTTTACCGTTCATCATGATAGCTATTTTCACATAGGGATCTATAGTTTTCAGGAATAAAAGAATATATGCATATTGAAATCAAACAAAAAATTATCCATCACAGTAGTAGCAGAATTCAGAGTTATACACACACACACACACATACCTTTATATTAAAATGTTTAGAATTGATATATATCATGGGGAAGGTGTACTCCTTTTTACTCTTTCATAGCGTAGGTTAACTGAGTATATCTGGTTGTTGTTTTTAGTGGAGAAGTCGGGTTTGCTTTAACTTTTTGTGGTGTAACTCGTGTTATGAAACTTATTTCCTCTCATTGGATAAAAATATCACATCATAAACAAGCTTAGAACTGCAAGTTTGAGCTATGTCAGCTCTCATTAACTCATTTAGATCAATGAAAGGATATTATACAATAGAACTTTCTACAGAAAGCTTCAGGAAAAGTTGGAAAAGAAAGATCAGTGTGGTATGTGTGGATGTATATATATATAATTCCTCCTCCACACCTAAAGTGGTTCGAAACTACTGTTCTCAATTAATCACAGTACAGAATTCCTTATATATGAGCATGTATATTTGATATCACAAAACATATTTTAACAAATCAAAAAACAAACCTCATGATAAAGTGTCTTGTATATTTCTAAATGTACGTTTACTCTAAAACGTTTAACTGGCTATTTTTATTTCAAAACTACATAATCATACACGCGTATTGAATATATATGTAAATATATATATATATTGTATAATGTTACTTTAGTAATTAATACATTCCTTAAAGCGTTGCTTTGCTACACTAACACCGTTTTCGTTTAAGCTTCTTGAATAAAAGGAACCGTAAAAACCGTTGTCATCACGGCTATTAACACAAAAGACTCTCTCTATTTTAGCCATTCTGTCAGGTAAACATTAAGTGTTAATAACTTCCTCTATTTGATTTTTTCTATCACTCTTCTTTTCGTAATTAACGCATTCACTATTCAATACCGAAAATTGTTTTACTTAAGATTTATCAACACTAGATGGCGCCAAAAATTGTGTGTGTGTGTGTGTGTTTAATAGAAAAACATTGCTACACCATTGTCAAGCAACGCAATAAATACTATTTTAATTCCTTATAAAACCAGTGTATAAACACCTGGATTATTCGTAAGACAAACACATTTTTAAATATAATGGAATTGGTTTAACTCTCGTAACTCACACCCCATATTATCGTGTTCATTAGTTTGATGAAATAACTATAATCTTATATCCTCATAGCCATAAGTTAGAAATTGTTTACTTATTCGTTTATCCAGTTTATTACTATATCCAGTCACTTGTCCATGTCCAGTTTGTTTTCCACATCCTCTTTATTTCTTTATTTAGCTTGTTTTCTATATCACACACATATATATATATATATATACCCCGTTTTTTGTGTGTAGTTACTGTTTCTATAATCAGTCTGTTTTTCTGTATCCTGTTTTTATCCATATCGTGTTTGTCTAACCCATCTTCTATATCGTGTTTGTTTCTATATCCAGTCCATTTTCTACATTGTGTTTATTTCTATGTATATTTACACAGTTTTCTATATCCTGTTTGTTTCTATCTACGTCTACTCTGTTTTCTATATTGTGTTTGTTTCTATCTTCATCTACTCTGTTGTCTGTATCGTGTTTGTTTCTATCTACATCGACACCGTTTTCTATATCGTGTTTGTTTCTATCTACATCTACTCTGTTTTCCATATTGTGTTTGTTTCTATATATATCGACACCGTTTTCTATATCCTGTTTGTTTCTATCTACGTCTACTCTGTTTTCTATATCGTGTTTGTTTCTATCGTCATCTACTCTGTTGTCTATATCGTGTTTGTTTCTATCTACATCTACTCTGCTTTCCATATCGTGTTTGTTTCTATATATATCGACACCGTTTTCTATATCGTGTTTGTTTCTATCTACATCTACTCTGTTGTCTACATCGTGTGTGTTTCTATGTACGTCTACTCTGTTTTCTATATCGTGTGTGTTTCTATCTACATCTACTCTGTTGTCTATATCGTGTTTGTTTCTATTTACATCTACTCTGTTGTCTATATCGTGTTTGTTTCTATCTGCATCTACTCTGTTGTCTATATCGTGTTTGTTTCTATCTACATCTACTCTGTTGTCTATATCGTGTTTGTTTCTATCTACATCTACTCTGTTGTCTATATCGTGTTTGTTTCTGTCTACATCTACTCTGTTGTCTATATCGTGTTTGTTTCTATTTACATCTACTCTGTTGTCTATATCGTGTTTGTTTCTATCTACATCTACTCTGTTTTCTATAACAGCTTTGTTTCTATCTACATCTACTCTGTTGTCTATATCGTGTTTGTTTCTGTCTACATCTACTCTGTTTTCTATAACAGCTTTGTTCTTACTTGTATCTATTGATTTTTTCTTTCTCTTCAGAAATTACTCTATATTTATACATTTCTCTTTATCTAACGAGTTGTCTCTAAACAGACGGTACTCCAGTCAGCATTGTTTCACTCTTGATCTTTACTCTATTGTTTACTGTAACAAATCTTTATATATTCAGTCATTCACATATATCCACACACTTTAATAACAAAAGTTACTGTTGACGTATGATTTGAATATTAACGTCCCATGTTGGCGAAGGGAAGATAAATTAATCCCTCTAACATGTAGAAAGCGCATGTGAATGATGTTATGTATACAATGTGGTAGAAGTCTCTCGTATCTTTGCTTCAAATGTTAAACGTGTGATTTCACTTTTTTCTTCTTCTATCAAAACACCCATTTAATTCTACACCATCTGGAAATTAATGAAATACAATACTTTTTCATTCATTTCACTCTCTGTATCTATGTTTCTCTCTATATTTAATAACTCCGTCAGCCAGCTCTCTCGTTATACTCAGTTCCTTCGTATCCAATGTTTTGATATCCGTTCTCAGTTTTACACACCTTTTTTTAACTCTCCACTCCTTTTCAAGTTTCTGAATGTGTTCACTCTTATACATTCTAACAGCTGGTCACATCCACTCAATTTTTGACCTTGAGTCAGTACTAATAATGGCTGGAGACGGCTTGAATGTGTAATGAAGAAAAACTTTAATATAAGTTTAACATAACAGCAAATGTACAACGTTTCGACGAGGTTTTGTCATTATCAGGTACAAGCCGTCTCCAGCCATTATTAGTCTCAAAGTGAGTTCCTCGCCATCGAACTTGAGTCAGTACGTTGTGTATACCTCTGTATTTTGAGTTTTTTATCTTCTACCAACTATCTATATTTTCAATATCCTCTCACATTTCCATGCCAAGTTTTTCTATACATTTTGCCATTTTCCATAGTTAGCCAACTTTCTAATCGTAATTAGATTCCCACATCCATTCAGTTTCCTGTTATACATTAGATATGAGTGTTCACTTAATTTTCTACTCTTATCGTTTCTTCATCAAAAAGTTTATAAACTGAGGTACACTCCAGAGTCTAGATGATTCTAAAATTTTTTAAACACCATAGACGATTGAAGAAGAAAGCGAACAAGTAACTTCTGATCCAAGAAAAGATTAAGAAGAAACAGATTATGAAGAAGATGAGGAAGTTGAGCTGAACGTGAACTGTGCAGGAGAAGAAAGGATCTTATTGGAGATTTACAGGATAGAGCTCTGCTGGACATACACATCAAAGAAGTAAACAAATCGGAATCCGTTGGTTATAAAAAATAAAGTTCAAATAGGAATGTCGATCTTGATGATCGATATGGAGCTATTTGAAGAGATTGATGAAGGGAAAATAAACTACCTACCTGTTTATCTATCTACTTACCTATATATCTATTTACACATTCAGAATCATTTATTATGCCAGTTTGTTTTCGTATGTGATGTGAATAAGTATATATAAATCAATAAACCTAGTGTTATGCAAGGCATTAATTGTTTATAGGCTATTAAAATCAGCACTATAAAACAACAATGAACTCAATATAAACCGTAAACAATATAATAAGATTGAACGTGAGTACAGCACTATAAAACAACAATGAACTCAATATAAACCGTAAACAATATAATAAGATTGAAATTTAAAATTATGCCTCCATTATCATTTCTTTTTGTCATCCTTAAGTCATAATGGATAATGCCTGTGGTCATAGCACTCAAATGCGTTGGGGACAATCCATCTTTCGGAGAAAATCCACACACTGATGTCAAACTCGCCAGCAACTATGGGGAATCAATTAAGGGTTAGGAGTTGAGTGCTTGAATTCACAACGTTTCATCTCCAACTGTCATTCATTGTCTGCAGCCAGTTGTGGGAAGGCAGTTACCCTTATTATTTAAAAATATCTTTAACGTAGAATTAAACCAACCCGAAAAAAAATATTGTGCCACTTCTCTATATCTACAAAGTCTGAAATATGTTATTATCTATCTTTGGTTAATGTCTTTTCTTTTTTGTGCCTTTCACTATGCATATTTTAATGTTGACAATATACATAATTTTGATCACTAGATTTAAATAAACGTACTTTATTCTCTTTATTTACTCCGTTGTTTCTGGAGACAACCAATACTCCATATCCGGCCAAAATTAGTAATATATAACATTGTTTTCTGAGTTAGTTTCAATTTCTTTTATACATACACCACGAATTGTCATACTCATCTGACGACAGTGCTTCTAGACTATAACTTTACAGTGTTGTTTACATCGTATGGTTGTAATGTCCAAAGCATACCAATCCTCCCTTAAGGCTTTCCATAATCTTTCTAATTTCGGGGGACGACGGATTCTCATTTCCCGTTTCAACAACCCTATCGCACAGAAATCCATTGGCAACTTATAAGGTATGTCTTCATACGAATAACATGAAAACCTGTTTTATTCTCCAAGTAACTGAAATATTCGATGATTGAAAGGGAAGTATGATTGGATACCTCCTTTGTTTTGTCAGCCTATATTTTGTAGGCCTCGTTTCTGTATAAATCCGGCATTTTCGTGTAGTACAAGGAGTACAGAACATTGGTTTAATACTAAGCAGAGTTCATTGTGGCCTTTATATACATACTTCAGATCCCTAACTTGTCCTTGACGCAGTATTCAACGATTATCATGAACACCGTCGAAGACATTTCGCGACATGTCCTGCACTACTTTTAGAATTTTATTTTGTTCAATGAGCGGTAGAAAATGGCACGAGACATGTTACAGTTATCAAGGTACACATACGCTTCGTCGAGTGTCATCATGTACTGCCATTTTTCTCGGCTAGCTATCGTCGTTCGTACAGTCATTTACAGTTGGTCTTCCCTTCATGGATGTGTCATGGAAGCAACTTTTGTGACTTTTCCAAACGGAGATCCTTCTTGGTTATGCTGCTTGCTGTTGCTTGGTGCACTTGAACGGCTTTTCCACTAATATTTGTGTTTGCAAATTCTCGCCTATTACAAGACGGCCAGGGTACGACCTATTGATGGTCTCTTTCTGATTGGTCATGGTACCTCAAGTTGATTGATATTCCTTTATTTTCCAATGTCACTAATTACAAAGGATATCCTCGTCTCGGAATTTATAAATCGACGACTTAAACAAATCATTTTCTTTTTTTTTCTGAGTAATGAATATTTTGCTTCGGAAAGGGTTGAGACATACCCTTCCCAAAAAGCAATAAATTTTTGGTGACAGCACACTATTTATGTAACGCCAAAAAATGTCAACATGTAGTTTTGATACATACCTTCAACCGCAATTTATCTCAAAATCGTTTTAATATAACGTATCGAACTCTCGGTGCATCTGTGTCATTTTTTTACATTTTTCCCATTTCTCCATATCTACTCAAATTTCTACAATCAGTCTCTTCTCTGTATCCATTCAGTTTGTTACATTCAATTACTTTGCAATACTAAGCAAATTATCTATGTTCGGTCTGTTCTCTACACCACTCCATTCTCTGCATTTTGTCAATTTTTCAAATGATTCAAGTGCAATTACAATATAATGATGCTCTTTTCGCATTTGTGAACATCTAATTATTAGATAGGATATACATAAAGTGCCTTACTTACCTGACAAGCCTCCTACATCCATTTTTTTGAGATTTTTAGCTTCGAGAATTACTACAGTGAGTTTTCCAGCTGTTGGCACGTAACGGAGAGAAAAGCATATGTCTCCCAGCTTATTTTCCTATAAAGGACAGTTTACCATTTTATATGAGCATGCTTAAAAAAACTGCGTTGTTTTATATGTTTCTGGTATTTTTCAGCTAAGACATTAAGGCAGAATAACTTTTTACAATTCTAATAACGATATCCTAGAAATGATTTTAACAGTTGGAGTTTCAAATTTTAAAATATTATAACGTTCTTAAGTATGGTCAACTAATCCATTAACTAACTTTTACAAAGGTACATCTAATTGTTTGATTCGATTTTCTTATCTGTATATTACAAAACTTTTTCTACTTGCTTTCCTTGTGCATTCGATACTATTTAAATAACTAACTCTCATAACACTAAGAAATGACCCTCTTCAGGTAGTTTAATTAAGTTTTATTAAATTGATTATAATGTTTGCAATGCATTTAAGTATTTTTTTTAATATATTTTTACACTTATTTTGAATTGTTAATATCCTTAGCTGGACGAACTGATGAGTGCATTTTAAACATTATCGACTTTGGTGTTTTTGTTTATCGATTTATTAAATTAATCATTTCTAATCATTTTGTCATATAGAATTTGCTTAACGTATATGTTACTTTTAGTTCAACTTTTGCATAATTAACTTACTTTTGATCAGAAGTTCTTATTAACTCCCATAGGTGGAGCTTTAATAAACTTATAAGGTTCTAGCACTTTGACATATATTGATCTCGTGGTGATATATTCTTTATTTCAACAGTTTAACTTTGCTATAAGGCGTTGCCATGGATACTTTTCGTAGTCGTGTGCAAATACGCTTCTTATTGCATTATGTATGAAACCTAATTACCTGATAATGTACGTTTATGCATTCTAAATAACTTCTTTTCTCCATGCATTAATGTACATGTTATTGATTTTTGAATTATTAATTAACATAAATATTGTACTGTTCATGTGAGTATTCATGTATGCGAGCTGATTTGCTTCACATAGCACACGAATGTAGGAAATAAGCTTTTCAGAAACGGAGCTGGTATTGTGAATGACTTAGATAATGTTTTTTCTTAACCACCACACAAACAAACTAAAACACGTATATGAAGCTTGTTTTAATAGTATCATAGCAACACATGTTACCCAAGATTATACTTGTTATCGTAATCCCCTTATCACACACTATATTAAAACAAAGGGAGATAAATTATCTCCGTTAAATCCCTAACAACGTTCTAAGCCAGTTCTCTTCTAGAAGTTCAAAGGATAATAATTTGTTGAAGTAATTATATAATGGAAGTTTATTGTTTAAAAAAGAATGAGTTTAGGGACAAAACTTGTAAAATTAATATACAATCCAGTACATGTCTTAAGAAATTATCCAATATCGAAGCGTAGCGTTATGTGAAATGAAAGTGTCCATAAAAAGTTCAAAACGATTTTCAATATACATATACAGCAGCATTTAAGTTGGCATTTTGTTTATTAAGATATTCAAGAAAATAATTAACTTGATTTTGAGTTTTAAAATGGCAAAGGCATTATCCAAATTTCTAGTTTAAAATAAGGATTTAAATCTAAATGAGCAACTAGACAACCATTGTTTTCATGGAAGTATAAGACAAAATCAGCCAGACTAGGGTCTAGACCAGAACCCATAGCAAGCAACACCACCAACGAGATCGTAAGTTTCGTTGGTGAAGATAAACGGTGAATACTTAGCACAAAATGGAAGCAGTCTCTAAGAGGTGTTCTTTAGAGATAGCTAATAACAGCATGACTTTGTTAAACCAGATCATTAAGTTTCAGTAACAAATTATCTTTAATCCTTATTTACCAACTATAGGTTTGGTTCTTCTGCATTTTTTTTTTTGAATTTCTTGTTTTCGAAGATCAACTTAGACTTCATAATCTTTCATTTTATTTTATTCTTTACCTACAAGTATGTTCAGAATATTTTTTCGCTTGTCCACTTGATGTGTAAGATAAGGAAATAATAAACGTCATTCAGCATTACCATCTTACAACCACACATACTTACAGTAAGTGTGATGCGATGCTCTCGTCAGAGAACAAGTATGTTTGACTTTTTTTGTCCGTTTTCACTGGACAAAACCTACGTATCAATGATGTAACTAAGACTTTATGTCTTGCTAATAAACTGCAGAAGTCTTTTTGTTTGTTTTTTGTTGTTTTTGGAATTTCGCGCAAAGCTACACGAGGGCTATCTGCGCTAGCCGTCCCTAATTTAGCAGTGTAAGACTAGAGGGAAGGCAGCTAGTCATCACCACCCACCGCCAACTCTTGGGCTACTCTTTTTTTATCAACGAATAGTGGGATTGACCGTCACATTATAACGCCCTCACGGCTGAAAGGGCGAGCATGTTTGGTGGGACCCTCAGATTGTGAGTCGAACGCCTTATCCACCTGGCCATGCCGGGCACAAGTCTTTTTGAAATGTCTAACTGGGATTATACGTTTGTTACAAATAATTTATTAGCACAACTTTTAAATGAAGAGTTTTCTTAGCGACAAAATTCAGCAAACTGGCCCAATAGCGGCTGCATCTTTAAATGGATTTAAGCATGTCTAATTAAAAAATTAAAATTAAATAATTAAACATTTAAGATAAATATAATTCATATCTTTGTGCTCATTTCTAGTGTAGTTCTTCTCCATTTGTTGAAGATTTGATATACGCCCTAAAAAAAACGTTGGGCGAAAGACTGCTACTACAGTAAAAAATCCTATCAATTTTTAATGGAAAGCACGACAAACTGAGGAAAAGATTAATTCTGAGTAGGCACGTAACGAAAGCTAAGTTTTGTAGACTGTTTAACTGGGTATTCGCTGAGGAAATATAATTTTCAAAATTGGTTTCTTTTTTTATAGTTAAGCACAAAGCTACGCCATGAGCTATCTGTGCTCTGCCCACCACGGGTATCGAAACCCGTTTTTAGCGTTGTAAGTCCGCAAACATATCGCTGTGCCACTAGGGGCTTCAAAATTAGAACGTAATGTCGCAATGTCGAGCATTTAAGAAATTATTAGCTTGTGAGTTTAAATACAGCATCACAAAAGCTGAAACTTGTAGTAGAATTAGCTGAAAGTTCCAAAACGTAGACAAGTAAATTATTAATGTTTTAACATAAAACTGATTATTTACCACTCTACTATAAAAGTATATTAATCAGTTTTTTAACACAAGACTGACTCTTTACCATTCTCTACTACAAGATGATTATAAAATGAGTTTCGCAATTCAACACGTCATGTCTCGCAAACAGTATGGCATAGGGCATTTACATTACACAGGGGCGTTAATGAGATCAATAGTTTTTGTGTGTTTTTTTCTTAGTGCAAAGCTATAAAATGAGCTATCTTCATTCTGTCCAACGAGGAGAATCGAGCTCCGGATTCCAGCATACAAATTCGTAAACTTACAACTGCCCCACCGGGAGGGGGGGGGGGTAAGAGGAATGCTACCGATACAAATGGCCCAGTTGTCACACTTTGCCACTGCCACCAGGTGCAAAATTGTGGCGTCTTTCGCATATTTCTCCTGGGTATAAATGGGCTTGTCAATTGCAGTGCAGTGCACTAAACCAAAATGAAACTGACAAGTGTGTAGAGAGGTGAAATAGTGAAATGTTATTATTTCAAAGAATGCAGTGCCGACGCAGCTATCAGTGAATAGTGTTGAGTGCATAAGATTCGTAGATGGCTTAATTGAAGTGTCGCTGGGACCAAGTTCATAAAAGAATTTGAGGAGACAAATTGCACTTGTGATGGGTCACATAAAGACAGACCACCAACACTTACTGAAACTGTCGCTGAGGTCAGCCATACCGAAGCAGATGTGCGCCATTACAGGCGCACATGGGTGCAGTAGTGCAAATTATTTTGCAAAATGTCTGGATTTGCCTATTTCCACTGTTTGTAAGGCTCTTTGGTCAAATTGCGAATGTTTCCTTACAAGCTGCATCATTTCCAAGCACAGAAGGAGACTTGGTTTAATACGACGTATTGATTTTACTTTGCAGTTTTTGACAAGCCTGGAAGTTTATGATCAATGGCTCGCTAATACCTGATGGACTGAAGCACACTTCATCCTGTCTGGGAGTATCAACACACACACTTGCATTATCTGGGCAATAAGTAATCCAGATGTAGCATTTCCTAAACACCTTCATAATTCTAAAGTGACAGTGTGATGGGGTTTCACAGTTGACTTTGTTTTTATACTTTTTACAATATCCATCAGCACATGGAGTGCAAACCTGCATTGTTAATGTTGCACAGTACCAAGCAATGCTCACAACCAATATGACTTCCATGCTGCAGCAACAAAAGCGATAGACACTACGTTTTTCATGAAGGATGGTGCCTATACACATAATGGTAAACACGTGAAACAGATGTTATGGGAACACTTTCAGGACAGAATCATTCAACCAGATGAAACAAGTGTTGCGGGAACACTTTCAGGACAGAATCATTCAACCAGATGAAACAGGTGTTTTGGAAACACTTTCAGGACAGAATCAGTCAACCAGATGAAACAGGTGTTGTGGAAACACTTTCAGGACAGAATCATTCCACGTCTCTTTTTTTTCTTGATAATGGCCACCTCGTTCACCAAACCTGGCACCAGAAAATTTCAGGTTGTGGAGTTACCTGAAGTCACTTGTTAACTGTGGTTAGCCTTACAAGATTTCAAGCTTTAAGAATGTAATTATCCGGGAA